AAACGTCACTAATGAGTCCTTTCGCTAATAACCAAGCCAGTTCCTAGGAAGGTCGGAGGAGTCAATATAGCCTCCCTTCTAAGTCCAACCACCTTAAATAGCAAAGCTACCCTTTTAATAGATCTTGACAAGGTATTAACACAAGGCCTACATGAGTTAACGGAGTATAAGGATAGGTTACAAATGTTATATATAATAATTACAAAATTATGTCTTTAAATACAACAAGCGATTAATCACTTACAATCTCATAACGTGTTTAAAAAAATAGTTCCTAACTCTCATAGGATAGCCATACGTCTTCAAATACTTCAGCTTTGCCTTTGACCGATCTAATAGTCTTCAATACCTGGCATGAAATGCCATGAGCTTTGAATGCCCAGTAAACGCACACACACCCCTTCCCTTTTTCCCAATCGAATACACTGTCATAATTATAACAAGCATGTAATGAATCATGATAATCATTCAATAATAAAGGATTACAAGGTTAGATGTTAGCATTCTAGAAATCCCCCAAAGAGATTTCATCCTCCCAACCACAAGAATTGGACTCGGATTATTCGATATGCCCCCTCGTTTGCTGCTTTGCAGACCTTATCCCGGATGCCTACTAATGGTTATATACTGTGTAGTGCCAACCAAGGACCTCAAAAGATATGGTAAAATAAGGGCCTTGCCCATAACCTCCTCTAACCTTATCCATCATAAACACCTAGGATCTGAATACAACCGATCCATTCAAGGGTTCCAATACAACCACTTGCACAAGACTTCAACTTTCAATGGGGAACGTGTTCCACTAACCGATTCAATTTGAATATAACTTCATCTCATGACAATACTCATGTGGTTGAAACCCCATTAGCCACACCATTAAGTTTTCCGTTTACATTAATCGTTGTAATTACTTAGTACAAGTGAGAAGGAAAATAAATTTGCATAAGTGTAAGCATCATCAAATGCCCAAAAAAAAATACATGACCATGACATGTATAATATCATACCAAGACATGATTATATACAAGTAAGAACATTCATAAAGTCAAGAGCACAAAACATCAATGTAAACAAAATTTCCATATTCATAGTCACTTAAAGATCAAGATTAAAAGAACTATTTCAGATTTTTTTCAAATCCGGCCTTTCTATGGTTCGTAGAGAATTTTATATAGTTTTAAAAAAAATTCAGAAATGGAATAGCTTTTCCAGATGTTTAGTTATTTCAGAAATACTCCAGCTTTGTCCAGATTCGTCGACCGTTACGAAAATCGAATTTTCTCACAAATCGCTCACTCTTTTTCAATGAAACCAATTTTCCATGCATGCTAACTATTTAAGAAAGATTTGTAAATAAAATTGAGGTCCAAAAGAGGTTTTATAATTTTCTATAATTTTTGAAAGTTGGCTATAAAACAGATTTTTCGGGTACAGTTCTTGAAATAAGAAAGTTGGTGAAAAAGAGGTCACCTAAGGGAAATTTTTCACTTCTCTTGTGACGAAAAAATGCTAAATAATATATATTAAACTCAAAATTTAAGGTAAAGGTGTGCCTTTGGAAATTTTGAGAGATTGATATGGAAAAATATAGTCTTATACCGATTAAGAGAAATACAAGAAGGGTTGAATCAAGGCTCGACTCGTTTCATTTTTAATACAAGAATACCATCAAAACACATTTGAAATGAATGTTTAAAACTTCTAAGAGCATGTATTTAAATGGAAAAACAAAAGAGAGTTGTGTTGTGGCTTACTTGAGGCATGTTGGAATTTCTAGCAAACTTCTCTTCCTCTCCTACCTTCCACCAAGCTCACCCTCCTTCCTCTCTTTCTCTCTACTGAATATAATGTGGGATGTTTTGGATGTAGTTTGAATCCAATGGAATAGTGGAAGTTTAGAGGCATTAATTAGGTTCCCAAACATGATCTGGTCAAGGTTTTCCTCCTAATCAAACCAACCTAGTTATATATATATATATATATATATGAAAGTTTGTACCAAGTCAAAGATATTTTTCATAATTTATGCAAACCTATCTAAAAAGGTACATTCCTTGCACTTATATAGGTAATGGCCAACCATAAATGGTGATTTGAGGGACTTGTTTTATTATTTTTTTGGTGCATAAATGTTGGGAATTGTAAAGTATGATGTACAAAATAGATTTTAGGGTACAAGTGTATATGTGTATAACGGAACTTGTTTGGAGTCAATTTGTTATTTAATAAAAATGTGAAGGCTTTGAGTTTAATTTATGAATTGGAATATTTATTTTAGGGTAGAATTAAATTAAATTAGGGTTAGAGAGTCTAATTCGGTCTGGATTCTTGTTTCGAATAAAAAGGCTATTTACCAACGAACATGATGAAAATTGAAAAATCTAGGATTTTCAAGTGCCAATTCCACATTTAGGGAGTCAATTAATCAGTATTAGGGTATTAGAATTGATTCCTAAGTTACTGAAACCGATTAGGATTTGCGAGTTTTCAATTGTTGCAAGTATTTTTATCCTAGGGTTAAAATTGCAATTAATTAATAAACTGGGGGACTTCAAAGAAATAATTTAAAAGTATGTGACTTTAAGAAAGTAAAATTTTTAGGGGCCTCGCATTGTTCAACATTAATTTACCCATGATTTTTCCAAACATAAACTTTTTGTTCTACCACTAACTTAAACAAACAAAATATCTAGTAAATAAACATATTGTTCAACATGTAACAAGTATAAAACTTCCATCAAATAAGCATTGTCATGGTGTAACATCGCACAGCGGTCACTACAACAAAAGTAACCTATGGTGACGAAAACTAGTGAAGAAAATAAAATTCGTCACTAAATGAAAATAATTCGTGAGGAATTTTTAAATTTTGTCACATATGATAAAAAAATAAAAATGATAGGTGACAAAATATATTTTCGTCAATAAATACTTCATTTTAAGTGAGGAAAACTTAAGTTTCGTCACCAAAAATTTTCCCGCTATTTTTTTTCGGTGGCGCCAAAATTTTGGGACTTTTGGTGACAAAAAAATTTGTCACTAATTATAAAATTATTTGTGATGAATATATTTTCGTCACCAAAACGTTTTAATATTTCTGATATCTTTTGGTGAGGAAATAATATTGTCACCAATTTTGGTGGAAAATTTTTGATATATTGAGCGGCAATAAAAAAAAAAAAGGGTATTAATTTTTTTTACCCCTTTTCTATTTATCATCTATATCTCTCTCTCTTTGAAAATAGGGTATTAATTTGTCTTACCTCTTGCTCCTCCACCACGCCGATCGCCATCATTGTCTCTATTAGCCTTGCCGATCGTCACCGCCACTAGTAGCCTTGCCGGTAACTGCCACATCTTCTTCGCTCGGTGATTTGGTACGTGATTCCGCTTTGCTCTTTTTCTGGTGTCTCTTTCTCTTATTCTTTGTATTGGTATGGTGACGAAAATTAGTGAAGAAAACAAATTTGGTCACTAAATAAGAATAATGCATGAGGAATTATAAATTTTGTCATGTATAATAAGAATATAAAAATAATAGGTGACGAAATTTATTTCCGTCAACAAATATTTACTTTTAGGTGAGAAAAAAAATAAGTTTCGTCACCTAAATTTTTCCCACTAACTTTTTTTTTATGATGTCAAAATTGTCAAAATTTTGAAAGTTTTGGTGAGAATTTTGTATAAGTTTATTATGCCTGATTAGTTATAAACTCAAATTTTGTATACACTCAAATTTTGGGGCTTTTCACCAATAATCTCCAACTCCTTGGTATCGATCGAGAACTCCAAACACCAGATCGACGACGGTCTCCCTGGCCTTTACTCCTTTTCCATGGCCGCCACCGTCTTCACCCTCACATCCACCGCACACCACCACCACCACCGTCTTCACCATCTTCGTGCCATTCTCGGACGACGACGATATGAGATATGAAGGCTTCAAATCTGTTGGATTTATGGTAGATCTGAGATGTGAGGGCTCTTCCTCCGCTGCTACAACCACCGAGATGAACGATGGGGGCCAAATCTGTGTTCGATTTTTGTTGGTTCATAATCTATGTTCAAAGTTATATATATATATATAAAGCTTCAGTGATTTCTATATGTGTGTGTGTGTGTAATTAGGTATCTGATTGTTCGATTTCCAAACCCTAATGGCGGAAATTGAAATTCGAAGTCTGTATATGTGTGTAATTGGGTATCTGATTGTCAAACGTGTGGTACATCCAAGTATGCATAGGGTTTATTTTCCTTTGTATCACTCTGCAAGCTTTGTCCATTGCATTAATTTTGCATTAGATTTTGGTCTACATGCCTTGAATATGTTTCAGTATCTTTTGTAAATCTTACTCATAATCTTACTCTTTTTATAGCTCTGTATCTTTTGGAAAATATTCTCAATACTCCTTTTTTCAAGCATTTTTTTTGTGCCATAGATCTATTTTTATTGTGATGACATGGTATCTTCCTTGGCTTGCAGTCAGTATATGAGTGCATTGAATATTCACTAGCTAGCAGTAAGTATTTAGGGTTTTAAGCTTGTTGAGTTGAGTTGAGATGAGAGTTTGCTTGCATGAATGCACTGTTAAGGGAGCTTTGTTCGTACTTTTTCAGTATTATTTTGGCTTTATAGCTTAAATATGATTTCTGCTTGAAACCTCAGTGTAGGGCTGTACTTTAACTGTCAAACTGCAATCCCATTTCACCTTACTGTTCCCAGAACCTTGAGGTTGTACACGTGTAATTGAAGAATTTCATTGGTTAGCCAGGGACATGGCCCTTTCATTGCTGTTTTCCTACTCTTATATACTCGTAGAATCTTGCTTGCCTTTAACTTTCTTATTGCCAAATATTTTGTTTTGAAAGTAGCAACCCAATTGATCATATTAACATGTATTGTTTTGAAATTTTATTGCTGAATAGCCATTGTGCATACATAATTCTTATGGATTCAATACATGACGTGAATTTTCAGATTTTAGAGCATCAGATTTTAGTAAGTTGGTTTGTTTGACATGCTATTGTAGCTGATTTTTTTGTTTTTGTTTTCTAGATTGAACCAGGTAGTCAGACTGAGCAAGCTCCTCCATCAACTGTATTTTTGTTGGCTCCTGGGGATATGCATGGTTTCAGATTCTTGACCATCTCAGTTGCACCTAGTCCGGTATTGTTTCTTTAATTTCATCTGTTGTCTCACATGTGTTCTCCATTTCATAGTATCACAAGTATATATGCATCAGAAGGTTTTGTGAAACCCTTTGGCTGCTTGTGTTTGTTTATATCAGAAAAATTCTGGCATAAATTCACCGTAGTTAATTTTCCAAAGCAATCTCAGAAATCAGAGCAATGCATATTATTTGAAAAACATTGTTTGTAGCATGACTTTCTCTTTAATATTGCCAATGCAATTGCCATTGGAAAAACATGAGATCTTTAGAGCCACTTTACTAAAGACTGGATATGCACTGATGTTTTTATTTCTAATTTTTCTTTTCCCCCATTTGTTTTATGTTTGAATATCTTGTTTATTGTGCCCTTCCTTCTATTTGAATGTCTTTTTGGAGTGTTGCGTAAAAATCAAAGCATTGATGCTGTTTGCATTAGCCTCGCCTGGAGTCCAGCCTCAATAAAGCCTTTTAAATACACAAGTTTTGCTTTGAGTGGCTGTGTTGTTGTTGTTTCTTTTTCTCTTTCTTTTCTTTTTTTCCCTGTTGCTAAATGAATTTCTATTTTCTAGTATAATAAAATTCTCATTATGCCATAATCTTTGTTTGTTTTGAGGAGTCTCTCATTTTCTCATCCTGTATGCATGTTATATTGTGATACTCTGTTGATCATACAGATTTTATATCCTATGTATCTGCGGTATCTTTTGAATGTTACTTCTGCTCTTGTTGAATGTGATAAACATCTCTTAGTTACTTTTGAAAGAGGTTTAAGTTGAGAATGTATGTATTATGACTTTCGGGCTCTCAGACTGTTTCAGGAAGGCCTTCACCTGCTACTTCCATGGCAGTTGGACAATTCTTTATTCCAAAAGATGGGGAATTAGAGTTGTCTCATCAGTTGTTGCTTCTCTCAACTTATTCTCCGAAGGTCAGCACTTCCATAAAGCAGCTTCTGGGCGTGTGATTTAATCTGGATTATATAGTTTTATTCATCTACTAACGGCTTCATTACTTAAATTTTGCACAGGACATAATATTGAAGGAGGACCATCCTCTTGATTTCAATATGTCATTTGCTATTAGCTTAGGTCTTTTTCCTGTTAAACTATCTCTGGAAACTACAGGATGTGGAATAAAAAAATCTGTACTCCCCGTTGAAGAGGCTGGAGATCTGGAGAATGGCAGTAAGGCTTTCTTTATGTATTTATTTTCCATGAAGTCAACCTGATTTCAGACATGGATTATATATATATTAATTTGTGGAATATGATGAACATAAGT